GGACCCTTGCCGCATAGACACGTTTACAATATCCATGTCTTCACCGGTTCTTTCGATACGATAGTCAGCGTCACTAACCATTATCCCGCCTAAGCGGTGTTGCAGCATGCCAACCACAGTTTTTGGCTGGCAATAGTTGGTCTTCCTGCATTCCATATAGAGCAAACTTAGCGCTGACGGATACCATGCCTTTCTACAGCCAGAAGTTCCTCGCCGACAAGCGCTTCTAAGCCATTCAAAAAGAGAAAATACCACTTCAAAAATGGTGATCCTTTTCGGAGACATACTTTTATGACATGGATCTACAAAACTATGTCTCGCTCTAAAATAACTGTTTAAACAGAGAAAATACATGAAAATGTTGCAATAATCCCAGAAAAAATAAGCAACCAAAACGTTTAATATTTCATTGTTTATTGTACTGTAAAATCGTCTAACTTAAAAGTATCCGTCATACATATATCTCAGTTCATCAGTTAAGCCTTAAAAAATCCTAAAGCTTGGATGGGAAAATAATTTTTAAAATTTATGCAGAAACCTCTCGGTTAAAAAATGGAACAAACTTCAGGCTGTTTTAATTTATCTAAATATTTATGTTTACTTGTTTGCATTTTGCGATATATTAGATTTAAATATTTTCTGTTATTGTTTATTAGTTTCCATATAACAATATTTATGTTACGTTTAGTTTGCGCAATCTTTAATTTGTGGCCTCTAATTGCATTTTTAAATGTTTAAATCGTTTATATATTTTAATATTTGCAATTCTGAGTCAACATGCACTGGAATTTTGAAAATAAACGAAGAACCGCAAATACATAGGCGGTTCACGCCTAACGTCTTTGAAGCTAAATTTGTCGCCATCCTATCAAAAAGAAGATTCGATAAAATACATTTTCTAGACCCTACGATTGATTTTTAAAAATTTCTGGTAACGATATTTCCCCTTGGCAATAGCATTAATAGGAAATTGCGTCGAGCCGTGAGTTAGTCTGCTTAAGGACTGACGTATTTATGACCTTAGTGGTTTTTAGATATTGTTCCAGCGACATGGTAATTTGCAAATATTCATCTTGTATTAATAAGAATTTTACCATACCTCTGTCTTTTTCCAGCTGTTTTTTTTTTTTTTTTTTATTTTTTTTATTTTTTTTTTTTATAAATGGATGTTATCACCTCAAGCTAAATAAAAAAACTTAAATATTTCCCTTGATCTGCCTGGTTACTTACGCAGATATTGAGAAACTCATTGCACAGTACATTCCTATTTAACTATTTGTACTCTGTGTAATGATAATCTGAATCTAAATTAAGTACTCTTAATTTAATAAGTATCCAATTCAAAATAATTAAAAATATACTCGTTATCTAAATAACTGCTTAGCAGGAAATCAATACGGTTTAATAGTCGTTTTTTTTTTTTTTTTAATTGAAAATTTCAAATCCTTGTGCACCACATAGTATTACACAAGACTTACAGAGATAAGTAAAAAAAAAAAAAAAAACACACACACACACACACAAAATAAAATAAACTTACAAATTCACAGATGACACGCAAGAGATAAATTTACAGAAGAAAGAGAAAGCCATTTTATACCATTTTATTGTTGGACAAATACGTGAAGAGGAGGAGGAAATGTAATATTCATAAAGTTTAACCTAGAAATGAGTTCCTTTCGTCCTTCCTTGAGCTTTGAACAATAGAACAACAAACGTTCGACATTTTGCACTCTTCCGAAACTGCATGAACACAAGTCTGTACTAGATAATCTAAATCTCTTCAGATACGAATTGAATTACCATGTCCAGTTAGAAATGAGTAACTTCAAATTGCAGAAAAAGTGTTTTTATTCAGTCTGTGGGAATGGAAGGAAAATATAGTTAGTCAAAGAGGCAGTAGTAGAATTCCTGTATAGTCATTCCCACTTGAGTATTGTATCATCCCTACTTTGTTCTTGTAAAATGATTTGGGAAGTATCACTGGAGTAATTACTGAAGATGTGTAGCTTGTTTTGCCAACCCAATCAGCCCTCTTCATTTCCTAGATTGCCAGTGTGGCCATGTACATGAGAAAGATAACATCAACACCTTTATTATTAAGGTCTTTAAGAAGAGCATGGGAAGTGACAATTAATTTATTATATGAGAGGATATTCCTAAGAGAATATAAGGATGAAACACAATCAGTGCAAATAAGAAATTTAGCACTTAGCGAACAGTTGTCAGATATCCACTTAATTGATGCACTAATGCACAGTAATTCGGCATGGAAAACACTGCATTCATTGGGAATTCTAAAGAGTTTGTATTCCAGTACAGAACCATGATGGAAAACAACATAAGATAATCCAACTCGATTATTAATTTTACTGCCATCTGTATAACACACAACAGGGAAATTATCATCAACAGAATTGTCATAAATGATAGTTTGAATTGGTAAACGATTGGCAGGATGAGGAAGATCTTCAAACAACACCTTGGTATCAAACATAAATTTGCTGATAATATCTTTAAACTTTTTGTTATTTAAAACATGAAGGTCAATCGGAGGAAATATTGAAATTGCGAAACAGGCCTCATAGCTAATTGTTCTGTAGCCACGCACAACTCTTAGTAAAATTCTTCTTTGAATTCTGCGAAGTATACGGGAATTAATCTTCTTTTCTAAAGTTGTTCCCCACACTCTAAAACATAGCAAATAAAGGAGACAATACCCTGCTTATAAATCATATCAATAACATTAGATTTTAAACAAAAAGTATTGCAAGAGACACGATTAAGTCCTCTAAGTATATTTTCACACTTATTGGATAAATACATAATATGATTTTTCCAACAAAACTTATGATCAAGAATAACACCTAAATATTTAATATGGCTAATTTCCTAAGGCGTGGGATATCTTTTAAATGGACTGCTTTGTATAACGGGAGGAAAAAAAAAAAAAAAAAAGATTCTCCAAGGCGGTTCTACCGATGGTGAAACACAAACATTTGCACATGCCGAAAAGATTATATAATCGGATACAATATCCCTATTCTTCTCTCTGCTGACTCATTCTCAATGTATACATGGAGAACGATGAAAATATACGCCATTTAAATTAGCCGTCGGATATTTCTTAGTCTATTAAACTACCAGTATTGATCAATTTTCTCCATTTAAACATATAGTTAGTTCCCTGCATATAAATACAATAATATTAAACTTTTTACTAGTGATATATAACATGCTACAGTACAGAATAAGCTGTAAAACTGCAGCTACTTTAAATATAAAACTACATCTTGCACCTCAAAAATCAATTTATTTAGAAATATTGTACTTTAAAACAACTTTAAACAAATCCTTTGAATACATAAACTTCTTGTATAAAAATGCAACATTATAAAAGGTCAGTCAACATTTTTAAATATTATACATATAAATATTTCACACTGCAGTACAATAGCACACAGAGAAAACATATTATCATGACTCAATATAAAACTATTTTTCATTGCACAGCAAAAGTAAATGAATGAAAGTACAGTAATACAGAATATTTTAGGTTGTTTTCTTTCTTCTTATAAAAAATGGTAGTCTTAGCACTTTATCATCTACATTATTTTTCTCCTTACATTTCAAACCTTACATAAAATAATACATATTGACTTATTACACATTTTGCAGTTTTTGTGCATGGAAAATGTGCTTTTAAAACAAGTCATCATGAAGATACACACAGATAGTTTAATATCTACTTACAATTTATTCAAAAAAGAAAATTATTTTGTAATTTATGCAAATACATTGCAATATATATTAAAAAATATACTTCCTTTGTTCAGTTTAGTGGCATTATTCTTTTAGAAACAAAATATAGTAACTTAAATATTCAAATATCCCAATTCAGATAACAGAGATACCAAAATGTAGCATCACCAACCATAGAGCAACATTGCATAACAATAAAAAATAACATAAAGCCCTTTCATAAATTGAAACATAAATACTAGGTATAATTTTTAAGGGGTGTTGGAACCCCAAAATCTTCAAAAAATTGTGATTTCAGATTTTTGCATTTTCAAATTCTATACACTTTTATCTTTCTAAAAATACCATTCTTTAATCTCTATGAAAATTAGACCTGTAAAAAATATAGTTTTAATTTGTCATCTACTGCTTTAATCAATGAGGATTTTTACATAAAAACGCATTTTTCTCCAAACGTGATTTTTTTATACTCGATGTACCTTTTCTCAGGAACTACTGCTCACAGGTATCTAAAGTTTTTATGGCTTATTTATTAGGTTCCCTAATATTTACTGAAATGAACTTTTTGTAATAAACTTAGAAAAAATGTTTTTGTGTGAGAAAAGTGCTAAATTTTACTATGCTTAACTAAATATTCTGTAATTTACTCTAAAATTCAAAATGTTTCAAAAGCTCATTTCAGTATAATCAGATAGGTATACTTGAACTACAGAAAAAAATTTCAAGCTTCTATCTACAGCAGATTTTGAGAAAAGGTACATCAAAAATAGCCAATTTAACATTGTTGGTATAGGGGTTTCTGATACCCCTTAAGTTAAGCCAAATGTTTTTTAAGTCTGACAGTTTTCACAATTCAAAACTTAAAATTTACAAAAAGTTTTCATTAAAAATTAAACAATTTGGGAAAGTTTCTGAGTAATTTAAATTGCTTTATTGGAATCAAGATTTTTTACTTACACTAAGTCGGGCAGGACTTCACAATTTTCGGGTGAACTGTTATAATTAAATACTTTAGAATGGTTCATCAGTTAATTTTGGATAACCGAAACACAGAGGTTTTCAACTGGAAGGGTGCTGCAATTGAGTCTGATGTTGATAATCTGATATAATATTATCAAGAGTCTGAAACTTTTGATAATGTTATTTTAGATGTGATTGCATTCCTCTTCTTTTGTATTTTTCTGGTTTATGTAATTTTTGAGGTTTTAGTATTTCACATTTCTTTGATTATGTTTTTATATATTTATAGGGTATTTTGAAATTTAATGATACTGAATTTCACTTCTTTTGAATCTCTGTGAAATTGGTTCTAAATTTCTTACTTTTTGTCTTAATGTATATTTAAAACAAGAGCTCTATCCCACTCTCTTTTTGAGCAGTATATGAAAACAATGAAAATCTAAAATAAAACACGAGTGACTTTGATTTTAGAAACATATATGGCATATATTTTAAAAATTGTCTTATATATAAAGCAGGGATGTATTACTGCTTTTATCAAGAAATATATACACTAGCACAGGGGATTCTCAACCACGAGGTGATTAACCAGGGGGGGGGATTTCATAATTTCAGGAGGATGCAGTCAGCCTTCTATTCACCTGTTAAAGTTTTTAGTTTTAGTTTATGAATATGAAAAAGTACTTTTATTCAAGTTTTGCTATATATGAATATTCCTCACACTTCACCTTGTGTAATTTATTAAAAATACCTAAATTTAAAATTACTCTAACATTAAAAAATCTAACTTTAAATAAAGTATGCATATTTTTTTAATTTTGGAAGGGGAAATAATTGGCTAGCAACGGTTAAAAGGGTGCAAGGTGCAAAAAAGTCTAAGAACCACTGTACTAGCTGGTAGGAAAACCTTACAGAAATATATGAAACAGTACAATTAATTACTTTTTCAGATTATACTATTTTAAAATACAGGTAAATTGTTAATAACATTCATTTGTTAAATATAATATGGGTTATTATTTTTTCCTGTGTTGTAATTACCCTCAATTAACAATAATTTTTAGTTTAACTGTGAATGCTGCCTCCCAACATTAACCCAATTAACTGGGAATTAATTGTACATCTTAGCGTTTGATACAGATGCTTCAATCCAAAATCCATTTGTTGATAATTTTATAACATTTATGACGAAATTTGTAAGTTTCAAATACATTCTGCATACTTGTTTACATTATAAGTATTTCATCATATTATTTTGAAATGTGTCTTCTTCACATGCACTAAAATAGCAGTTACTCAGGACAAGAACATAGTTCATTACAAACTAATAGTAATAATGGAACACAGAGAATAACTAGATATTTTTTTAAAAGGAAAATACTTACATTAATAGACATATCGCCCTCCAACAGGAACATAATGAATAAGCTCAACATTTTATATCATACACAATATTATATCATTTATATAATTTATCTATAACAGCAACAAACAAAATTTGTCTGATAGATTGTAAGCTTTACAGCAAAAATAAGCTCGCGCAAACTTCTAAAAGACAAGTCTCGTGCAAGCTTCATTAAGACAATTTAAAAAGTCATTAAGTTATGGCACTCCTCTATAAAACTTAATATGAAAAAAATAAAGCTTTATCATAAGACTAGAATCTTTGTGTCCAGTTACCTTATCAATTCATAGATTTTAACTAAAACTTCAACATACATACACAATTATAATTTTTCAAAGACAGAATAACCCCAAAATAAGGTTTGACTTAGTAATATAACCCAAAAATTTATCTCATTCAAATAAATCAGAAACATTTCTGATTTTACCTAACTAGCAGAGTTTTCTTCTAGTTTTGAAATAGTTTCAACAGTAAAAGTTTTAAACAAATTAAGATTTTTCATCTTTCTTTATATACATATATATATATTCACTTGTCATTCAAATTAAAAATTGAAAATATCAAAAATATGCATATAAGATGCATATGAAAATTCTACATACTAACTTCATTTCGATAAATAAAACAATTCAAACTCATTAATAGAATAAATATGTCAAGCTATGATACTGCAGTACAAAATTATACTCTCTACATTCATAAATGTTTCCCTTAAAATTTTCAAAATTTTGTTAGTATGAGAATGCACTGCTATATTTTTCAATATATTAATTTAAGCAATATTAAACTGCTTGTAAGTTATGTTTTGTGTACTAAAGAAAATTTTTTGAAATTAAAAAATTAAATAGCTGTTCAAATTTTTATTTGAATCAATAAATAAGCTAAAATTCTTGATATATATATAAATAAATATGAAAAAATTACTTCCTACAAGTAATTAATGAAATACTTTTTAAGTAGAAGGGGAGGGGTAGATGGCATGACCAAAATCATATAATTATAGTGTCATTTAAAAATCTGAAATATTTTGAAACAAGTAAATGAACATTAAATTAAATTATGAAAAATCAATAAATTATAAACATTCTTAATACAAAATTAAGCAGTAAATGCATACCTTTTTAAAATATAATTAAAACAGTAATAGGTAAAAAAATCTGAATAATAACATGACTACCTTCATAAATACCTTTATAATATAAATTATGCAAAACCAAAACTTATTTCACATAATGTTCAGAAGATGAAAATTCACCTTTCTGGAAGGGGGGATATACTAATATTAACATAAAATTCCATACAATATTTATGTACAATAGTTCAAAAAATGGATGCGAAACTATGCCCATTTTTATCTATCACAAACTTTACTGGCCTGCTTCGAAGACTGTTCTACTGGCAAGAAGATGCAAAAATAAATACATGTTATACATATATAATATAATGCATTTTCATTAAAACAATATGATGTAATACTAATGAAATGTTAAGCATGTATTTCATCAAGTACAATAAATCAACCTTAAAAACAATACATTTAGATAGTTTTAAACATAGCCAGCAAATTTTCTAGAAATTCATTCACAAAAGAAACAAGAATTGAGGTAAGTAGTCTTCTAGGTAAAATTTATACATACATATACCAATTCCACTTTCCCACCCCCAAATAGTCATGAAAATATCACACTTTAGAGTCCACCTCAGACATAAGTTTTTCTTTATCTTCATTTTTATCCTCTGAGACTGTTTCCAAGCGGCCTTTATTTACAACTGGACTCTGAGCATATAAATAGGTTGCATATGACACAATTGCTATGGATATGACAGTATAAATATCAATTGGAAAACCAAATATAAACCAACATAAAACAGCAGTAAAAGTTATTTCTATTGCACTGGCAAATGTTTTCAGAATAGAATTCAAATTTTTGAGAAAGACTGATGTTACTATGCCACATGCTGAACTATTCAACATCACAGCAATAACCATTGGCTGGAACACTAAATTTAAAGAATCACTAGAAAATGCTGTTTGTGCTTCTCCATTCAAAATCAGAAGTATGAAAGTACATACAATGGAATCCATGTACATAAAGATATTTTGCAACATTATATGGACATTAGCTCCAGCATCCTTCAATAAATATTCATTATAGACTCCAGCAAAACAGGAACAAAACACCTGCAAATAAAAAAATATCAATATATGTATATGCTATATAGACTTTCAGCTAACCTGGGTTAATAGCAGGAACAATATTAAAAATTAATCCAAAATCACATTTAATATGACAGCATTCCCCCCCCAACAAAAAAAGAGGAAAAGGAATAGTCTATATTACAATTAGCAGAAAAATACTATTAACAATTCACTTCATTTTTAGGCAGTTTAATTTTGAGAAAAAGTTTAATTGGTTTTGTAAATTAAATCCACATATAAAACAGAAAAAAACATCATTTCTATATTATATTATTCTTTTATTTTGACAGAAATCAATGGGAAGCAGACAATTCATAGCCATACATTTACTTATTTTTATGATTTAGCAATTTATTGTTAAGGGATGATTTAGAAGTAATTATATATTCCAGGTTATGTACCATTACAATGCATACTGTTATGAATAAAAATAATTCCTAAATCTTGTGATATCTGCCATCACTACTGCAACTCAAGCATTTTCTTCTCTTTTCAGCACTATTCTTGCAACTCAAGCATTTTCTTTTCTTTTCAGTACTATTCTTGCAACTCAAGCATTTTCTTTTCTTTTCAGTACTATAAAAAAACTTTTTTCAAAAAAAAAAAAAAAAAAAAAAAAAAAAAAAAACCTGCCTCTGGTTTACGGGGAATGTAATTATGCAAAGCTAAATAAGTATATTTGCTTTAGGAAGATATAGAACTGCTCAACAAGAAAAATATCAGTTTGAATGTGCAGCAGTTTTGAGATATACTTCGTCAATTTTAAAATCTTTGAAATTATGTTGACATTTGACAATGGGGGAAATTTAATCATCAGTTATCAACAAATCAACCATTAAGTTAAAACAATTTTTCCCCTTTTTAAATTCTTCAATATCAATTACATATTAATATAAAAAATTATAGTGAATTAAATTGAAAGTTATTTTCTCAGAATTTAAAACATACCATAATGATTACACATTTTCATAACAAACTATTATGATTACGGTCATTTCATTTTTGATTAATAGTCAGTTGTGTTAGTCTTTCATGATTAAGAATATTTTCAAAGCAACCACATTTTAAATGCACTTTTATTATAGAACAGTGGTTCTCAAGCTTTTTTTATCCTACACACCTCTTTTCCATTGCTAGATGATCATTCCTTCCTTCCCCCCAAAAAACTTATACATTTATTTAAATTTAGATGATTTTTAATAAGTTTTATAAATTACACAAGGAAAAGTATAGACTATGTTCATAAGTACTAAAGCTTGAATAAAAGTAGTTTTTGATATTCACGAAATTTTGAGAATTGCTGTTATAGAAGTTCTGCATACTAAGAACAATAAAAGCTTGAAAAATATCTTGATCAACATTTAATTACCACTTACAATATTAAATGAATTGCAAGCTGACATTTTTTTGACTTTTCTGTGGTTCAAAAAATGTCCCTCACCTTTGAATCGATATTTAAATGCTCTATATGATTAATTTAGCACTTCTGTGTTATAGTGGTCTTGGCAAAAAAGGAGGAATAGATGCATTTCAGCCTTGGGATTGGATTGGATTATTCAATTATGGCAAAGTACATGAGGGCTATCTGCTTAAAGGAAGCGATGACTTCGTGGAGGACTTTCTAAGGGAAACTGGCTTGTATACACGACACCTAGGGAAAACCATGAAAACACCCATGTAGTCAGCTCGTTTGCGGGATTCGAACCTCGGACTGAACTACGAGTGTTCAGCGTCTTTACCGCTCAGCTGCTGATGAGCCTTTCAGCCTTGGGAAGAAACAGGCAGTTATTGATACACATAAAAACTGTAATGTGTAAACTGCATAAATAGGTAATTCATTTAGTGTCTACAATTATCGATTTGCAAATATGTATATAGCTTATGCTTTTCCAGTTAGTGAAAAGGTTCTCGATTTTTCATTGTTAAATACTTAAATTCTTAATCTTCTACCTAATAGGGACTAATGAAATGACAAAACAAAAGGCACAGGAATACGGACTTACTATCTCACCTGTAGTTCTACCTAGAAGAGTTTATGTTCAACTACTATCTTGGCTATAATGACATGTTTGATGCACTATTAATAGCAGCTGCTGAACTGTGTCTACCAGAACGCGTCTGTTTGAGATTAATTTTGGATATGCTTCCATATGTTGTTTATTTAAATAAACTGCTTACCAAATTGCACTAAATAAAATAATAAATAAAAATCTATATTAAACTGCTTTTGCATGAATATATTAAATATATCATATACTGTAGATATTGAACAAATTATTTGTGTATATTCTATTCTGGTGATAGCTATCTGTTTCTTGTGAAGGCTGAAATGCCCCCCAATTCCTCTTTCTTAGTAAGACCACCATAACGTAGAAGTGTCATTATTTTTATTTATTTTAGCTTTTCATTTCTTGGTGTTGTCACCCAGATGGTATAGTGGTTAGGGAAGCCTACTATGATACTGAAGGGCCTGTGTTCGAATCCCAGAGAAGACATGGATGTTTGCAAATATATAGTGTTGGTGCAGCATAGTGGCACTCTAAATATGCGGTAAGCCGAAAGTCCTCTGGTTTGAATTGGTAGAAGTAGAGAGAGGGGTGGGAGACCCCCAGATCCTCCCCCGGGATTGAAAAAATTGGTGATGGAAAATAGAAGTCTAACCTCGCTCCCTCAAAATTGGGGATGGAAAATAGAAGTTCAACCTCTCTTCAGAGTAATATTTCTTGGGGTTGGCTTCCAATCAGAGCAAGATTATAATGAAAGACATACAGTATTTACTTTTATAATTATTATTATAAAAGTAGATATTATATATTAGATTATTAGATTATAATGAAAGACATACATACATATTAGATTATAATGAAAGACATACAGTATTAACTTTATAGCTTTGATTATTTATAAATAAAATTAAAACAGAGATGATAGCAATGGTAATTTTACAATATCTATAACATAATTTTTAAGAGGGTGTAAAATATGTTATTATGATGAAGAATGGTATCACTTTAAAAAAAGCATTATTATCCACTAGAAAATTAAAAACATCCAGTTTAGGACCCAAAGAATACAAAATTGAAAATAAATAAATAAATAAAAATTACAATTTATAAAAATAAATGATGGCAGGTGAAAGATCTTTCTGACATTTTTAACATCATATTATATATAATTTCATTTCCAGTAATGGCATTTCAAAAGAATTCCAAACTGACTTAAATTCATTTTATAATGTATAATTCATGTTACTGAGCTATTTATAATATGACCCAGTATAAAATATATTAATATTTAATTATACAATCTAAATATTACGTTCTTCAGCTAATTTCCCTTAGCAATTTTTTTATACTTTCATGGTAAAAAAATACTGAGTACGCAGGAAATTTTCTTTACAAAGTACTTTTATGATGAAGATAAAATTAATAATTAATGTACATACTATTTATTCTGTGCATAAACTTAATAATATACCATTTACTGATGTAAAACAAAACTGAATATAAAACAATACAAAATTAACTGATTAAATATTGGCTGCATTAATAATGAAAGTTGAAATGTCTACAGTAGATTATGGCAATTCAGATCAAAGAAAATTTAATCAGAAGAATATTTCTGAAAATCATTATAGATGGGGGTATGGAATTTGCATAATTTAAGTTCATTAATTCACTTTAAGTTTCAATTATTGCAGAGAAACATTTTCCTTAATAAAAGCTAAAAATTAAAAACTGGAAGATTTGATAACCTACCAAGAGATCAGAAGATGTGATGAAAAACTGACTCTTCCCAGTAAAATATGAGAGTTAGCAGCCAAAATAATACATTCAAATGTTCATAAAATTTTCTTTTGAATTTGTTCATGCAAAAGCAAATTTCTTATATGCATAAAACATACTGCTTATTTTTTAGTCTCCAATTTAAAATAACATACATTTCCATTCGAATATGGGCATCTGGAAACCCAAATTTGAAATTTTGTTTTATTATCTACTTCATATTTTGTAAAACTTAACCAATTTTTGATTAACCTCAGCGATTTACAAGCGAGCAATGGCAACACTCTACGGGTGGGGGAACCTTTTTATTTCCAGTGTGCAGAACTGTGTATCGGAAATTCTAAGGATATGCTCGTTTTAAATTTACTTTGTGATACTGCTGTTGAGTGGAAATTTATGGTTTAAGTGCGAAGAACATGATATGTAATAAATAAAGGTAACACACAAAATGTTAAAAAAATGCCCTTTGGACGTAATTTAAAATCTGAAACTTTTCATATATATATATTTTTTAAAATTTTTATTTGCTAAATTTGGATAAAATACAGACTTGTTTATAGTGGTTAGTTCTTTTTTTATAACACTATTGCCTTAAAACCCTTTCTTTTGCATAATCAAAAGCTTAAGATATGCACATACCATCCATGAGCACAACAAGAAAGATTTCTCCTAAGTAATATTATAAGTAAGTAATATCCTGGTACATATAAATATGTAAGCAATACTCCAATAAATCCGAACAATCCTAAATGCCACTACTGGCACTTTTTTTTATCTAAACACTTTATTAATCAAAAAAGTAAAAAAATAATTAACACATAACAATTTAAATTATGAAGTGATAGCCTATTAATGAAAAGACATGTACACAGTAAAAGAAACCCAGGACATCATATTTATAGATGAGAATACAGAATTTAAATACAAAAAAAAAAAAAAAAAAAAAAAAAAAAAAAAAAAATTATTTATCTTTGTATTCTAAAAATACAGAATACAAAGATAAATATAGATAAAAGTTAAAAGATACTGGGATGTTTATCTTACCTGGACTAGTATCAAGAAAAAATATAAATAGTTATGTGTTTCAGGTATAGGTGACTTAGAACTTTTATCGGATGATGGTGCTAAAGGGGTCGTGTGGATCTGCTTTACAATGCAACCTATAGTCAACAAGATCAAAGAAATCCACTGCTTCCTGCTAAGCTGCTTCTTAAAAACAATCTATTTTTCAAATGGATAATAAAATAATTACAATTGAAAACTCAAGCACACAAGTTTAATTATAAAGTGAATAGAAGTTATAATAAAATAAAGCATGCAGGATATTTTATGAAATTCTTCAATTAACCCTTTGACGCGAGCGATATAATTTTTATAATTTTTTTAACTAAAAACTCTAGAAATTGAATATGATGATCCTAGAGACAAATAATATATGAATTTAAAAAAATCTACTCTTGCTCATTGTTTTGTGGGTGGTGGCCACACTGTGAAACCACCACGTGTCTAGGTCTTTGAAACTTAAAAAAAACTTACCTTTTTCCGTACGTGTTTCCAATAAATGATGAAATTTACGAATTTAAAAAAAAAAATGCATGTAAGAATTGCATAATATATATATTTTTTACATTATTTTACCAACTAAATCATCTGAAAAAATTAAAAAATAAACATTTATGTAATTTTTCTATAGCAGTGAAAGTATAAGTACCTACATAATGAGAACGTTTGGCTACATGGATTAAAAAACTCAGTAAAATAAGGATAAAAAAAAAAGACTCAGTGTTTTTTTTTTAATTTCAAAGAACAAATATTTTTTTGTGACACTGTTCAAAGCATGTTTTGTCTTTTTGGTACATGCATAGACCCACATTGCATGTTTCTCACATGTATCTTCTTCTATGATGTTTTTTTGCTTGTGCTACGAAATGTACACTGATTGGATCTAAATTTCACTGGTATATGTCCAGTGTTATTTAGTTTCTTTTCATCTGGCACATGAAATTTGTGGTTTTTTTATGTTAATGCAGAGGGGGGGGGCTTGGTCTTTTTGGCTTTGGTACGGATCATTCATACTTATTTTATTCGTACTTAGTCTCAAAATATTCAGAAAATATTTTTAATTTAAACAAAACTTTATGCAATTTCTATTTTTAATTACAGCAAAGTATATTTACATTAAATTTAAACCACAGGAAATAGTTTATAAAATTACAATACTAGCTTGGGGAGCAAGTGTGTTGAAGTCAGAGAAAAAGTCTCTGGAAAAGAAAGACCTTTTTACTGGGCAGATGCATGTATTGTTTAGTAATAAAATAACTCTGTGATTTCAAAACCCCTTATCTATATCCGGGTAAAAATAAGCACTCCTATTTGAGAAGCAAGCAAACGCCATTGTGATGAGCAGTGGTTTCAAGGCGCGACCACTGCCCCACTAGAGCATTGTATCACAATGCTCTAGTGGGGGCAGTGGTCGTGCCCTGAAACCACAAAGCAAATGCCATACATATAGAGATTTTTTTTTTTATATATGCAGTTTAATTATTGCTATTTTTATTGTTTATGATAGAAATCATGATGTGCGATGAATAACTTTTGAAATTTAAAGTTGCTTATATTACTAAAAGGAAGTTATTTTGTCTCATTGAAAACAAATTTTAAAAGGCATCCGATTTGAAGCACTAAGACTTAAAACATGTATGATTCGGTCGTCATTTTGTGTTAGTTAGAGGTAAAAGATCAGTAATGAATTGATTTTCACTCAAAAATTTCGGAAGGAAGAGGAGAAAAAAATTCGAAAGTTGGGGGTTTCAAGGCATGACCACCATGCGTCAAAGGGTTAAAAGCAACAAGAAAGCTTTAAAGTTCCTTTATCTTTCAAAGAAGACATAACTTTTCTCTCTTCCTCTTTATTAAGAGAACATAAAAAATAAATTCCACAACTTCTTTCTTTCTCTAAATCGATCAAAAAGCATATTAAGTACACATTATATCCAGCTATACACAATCCTAGTATCTTCTTTTTCACATAAAATCTTAAAAAATTAATTTTTGAATATTTAAATGCAACGACTTGATAGTCAAACCATCTATTACATTTCTATTATAATAAAAATTATTGTTTTTTACTATAGTATAACTGTTGTTTATCTCAAATCTGTTGTTTATCCTAAAAAAATTATACCAAATAGTTATTCTTTGATAAACATTAGAAAAATTATTAGATCTTCCCCCCCAGAGAAAGACATTTTTAACTTATATGTACACTAACAGAATTAAGGTATACTAGGGTCTATCTTAAGAAATCGAGAGAAATATGTCATGCACAATGCTCATATAAAGTATAAACAAAACTATAGTCAGTACATGGAGTCTTCAGACAATTTAAGCAGAAATCATGTATCATGTGAATGCTTAACTATTGAATTTGTGTATTCTTGAGAAGACAAGAACAAAAGATATCCTAGAAACTGCATTTCCAACAATGATAATCAAAGAAAAGAAATTCTTACTCTACTTAAAATAACAATACTGCATGCTAAAAAAATAATGGTACAAAAATACCTAAAATGTATCTTAATTTAAATAACGGCAAAAATTAATTCTATAATCTGTAAAAATTTCAAGATGGTACAAAATCTAGATCTTTATTATGCTGGATTTAAAAATATCAGATATAATTATTAATAAAATTAATAAATTTTAAATGAATTGCAAAAACTGAGAAAAATATTTCAGAGACAATGGAATAAACTTTATTTGCAAGGCTATTTTCAATCTACCTGATTGTGTAATGATTGAAATAATGCAATGATTAGTTCGATATTAAATGAAGATATGTGTCAAACATTCATAAGAAATAACACATTAATCCTTTAAAGTTTGCCAAAATCAGAAATCATCATTTCACTGTTATGCCCAATACTCCAACTACAGCGATTAAAAAAGGGGGAGATCACCTGTTTTTCCCCTTAGTTAATTTTATTTAATAGCACTCATTGTCAGTAACACTGCAGAAATTACATGGTGACTCTTTTTACAGGTGTACTTTGTAAATTTTTTAGCAAAATTTTAACTTCCTTAAACTGAATTTTAAAAATAATATAAAAACTGTGAAGCAGTTACAGAATAACTATTGCAAAAGAAATTGATATACATATAATATTAGACTTTATAATAAATTAAGGAATGTATTACAAAAGTTTTCTGTGTACTGGTTCAAACTGAGTTTTTAACAAATACTGTTATGTTAATAAAATAACTGTAATACTGAAAAAACTCATTTACAGTGATGTATAATTAATTACAAGTTTATTAATTCTACTTAGAATTAATGCCTGTTTTTGATTGCATAGAGAATTATTTAAGTACAGTTATGAATTAATCGTAAAGAAAATTAAAATATTCTAAAGGAACAGACATGTTTATCACTGTACTCTCATACGGATTAATTCAGCCAATTTGGAAAGAGTAAACTTTTATTAATTTTACACTTTGCAAACCACTGCTTTTGCTAATTTCATTTTCTGGACTAATACAACTACCTCTGTTAGTTCAGAAAGTGATTTTAAATTTATATAAAAATAACCTTTCCTAGTTTCAATATCTGCAGTTTTCACTTGCTTGAAGTGTGGAATGAGTAATGCCAGTACACATAACAAAATTCTTCCTTACTATACAGAAAATTATACTGTACTTGTGATGTCATCTTTATTTAGCTAAATGAATTAGTTCCAGCAAGTTGTATTTTATATTTGCTTTCAATGAAGGAAGTCCCTGCCCTCTTCATTTAAAAGTCAAATGCACATTTTGGAGGAAAAGTTCCACTTTAGAATAAGCAGAATTCATTTTTGCCTTTTCAGGCAGAAATCACAAATGTAAACTGAACTCGCATGTTTCCATTTTATTAAATAAATAGTTTAAACACTACACTCAAGAGCCAAAACATTATGACCAGCCCCACATTTTGAGATGAACACACCTGGATGACGTGGAAGGCAGGTGATCAGGTGGAAGTGGTATTTAATTGCTGCTGGAGAGTCTGAAGAATCATTCTTTCACTTACTTCTGTGTGTTATGGGAAAGGCTGCGGATCTAAGCGACTTTGAGAGAAGGCAGATTGTAATGGCTCGAAGGCTCGAAACAAGTATTTCCGAAACTGCACGACTCATGGGTTGTCTGTGATCTACAGTTGTTAGTACGCATGAAAAGTGGATGAATGACGGTGAAACCAGCAGTAGACGACATGGTGTTGGACGTCCACACGCTATCAAAGAAAAAGGGTCGTCGGAGACTGTCTTGCATGGTGAAGCAAAACCGGAGCCAGATAGTGGCTCAGCTGACAGCCGAATATAATGCAGGTAGAAAAATATCGGAGCACACTGTTCAGCGGACACTGTTGGATATGGGGCTATGCAGCAAACGTCCCACTCGTGTGCCTTTGCTGACCAAGCGTCATCGCCAACTGCGACTGCGCTGGGCCCGGGAACATCGCGACTGGTCCATGGATCAGTGGGAGAGACTTGCCTGGTCAGATGAATCACGGTTTGTCATTCATAACGCCGATGGCCGTGTCAGGATACACCGTCTTTCAGGCAAACAGTTGCTCCCTCAATGCACAGTAGGTCATACACAGGCCGGTTGTGGCGGTATTATGCTCTGGCGGACGTTCTCTTGGGCGTCTCTGCGACCCATGGTTGTGGTAGAGCAGACCATGAATGCTACAGGGTATCTGAACATCATTGCGGACCAGTTGCACTCTTACATGGCCTCTGTTTTTCCAGCTGGAAATGGAATGCTCCAAAAGGACAACGCCCCGTGTCACAAGGCTACAACTGTGTTGGAGTGGTTCCTGGAACATGATGCCGATTTCCAGTTAATGTCCTGGCTGCCTAACTCACCGGATCTCAATCTGATAGAACACATTTGGGATGTCATGGGACGGCAGCTCAGAGGTCAAAGACCACCAATTCGCAATATCTCGGATTTGCGTGACCGTTGCTACATCTGGTACAATCTGTCTCCGGCCATCTATCAAGGACTTGTGGCATCCATGCCAAGGCGGGTTGAAGCTGTGTTGCGCGCCAAAGGTGGCCCAACTCGTTATTGACAAGTGGTCATAATGTTTTGGCTCTTGAGTGTAAGCCCATTAAAAAACCACCAGAGTTAAACTTAAAAAAAATCAAAACTGAATTTTGAAAAAAAAAAAAAAAAAAAAAAATTCAGACATTTACAGAAGACCTTGACCTGACTTAACCTATGCATGTAATATTCGGAAGCTCTGAGCTTTAATCTTAATATGTTTGAGGTACTCACCTGAAAAATGATACCAGTCACCACAACTCTAAGTTGTAATAGCAGATAATAAGTTGTAGGATCAAACACACACAAGTTTATGAATGTGAGATTGTTATATAAACTGTACAGGAACGCAGGCACAAAGTAAAGCAGAAGAACTGGAAAAGGGGGAAAAATATGTGCAAAAACTACAAAACAAATCAATTTATGTAGAAAATATACACAAGTTAAATTTCTAAAAAAAATATTTATTTTGTTATATTACGTTATAAAATAGATTTTGATATTTCACCTTCATATATGTATGTGTGTGTAATGGAAACAAACTTAGAAGTGATGAACAGAAAGAATGTTGATGGCATAGAAATGTTGATCCATAATGAATGGCAGCTGAGGCAGATAAAATATCTTATTTTATTTCAGCAAACAGGTTGTGGCCACAAACAACTTGGCACATTATTTTGCCTATTTCTAGATGTTTACATTTTTGATAACTTTGAAGCAAGAAGGAAGCAGCCCACAGCAGTCCAGCTAGGCCAATGAGTAGCAAGTGAGTGTGTTATGTTCGGGGTGAAATCTTATTCAGACTTAGTTTTGGTTCTCAATGCATTTTGATTGGATAATTAATAATGCTGTAAAATTAATATTGCTATTTGAGTTTTAGTTCCATTTACATGATCAGAATTACATATATATATATTCGATACTTCATACAAAAAGTAAGAAGTTTAGAACCAATTCCACAAAATAAGTGAACTGGTTCTAAATTTCTTACTTTTTGTCTATACTGGTCAATTTTCAGCAGCATATACACAGAAATTTGGTTTAAATAAAATAATTACGAATCTGTATATATATATAATTACAAAACATTTTTTTTAAAAACAAAATGTAAATATGCCTAGTATTTTTGCACTTTAAGCTTCAGAAAATTATCATTAAAAACATAAAGTAAGAAATTTAGAACTAATGTTTTGCAAAGACAAGAATTTTGAAATTCATAATTGATAAATTTCAAATAATCTAAATGTAACAAAGAATTTAATAAATGTAAAAACCAAAATTTTTAAACAATCAATACCCCAATCCAAAAAAATTCCTTAAAGAAATTAAAAGAAAAAAGAACATAACAAAACAGTAATTCAACCAACTTCAACGCTACTTCATCAGGGGAAAGGAACATTGAATTCAATTGAAGTCCCTCTTTATATACACACATACACACAGATAGAGTCAACCACAATTTAGCACTTGTCAAAAGGCAACTGCAAATTATCTTAAAATAACAGTTATTAAATACATAAATTTAATATTCTTTTTTTATTTTAGATGACATACATTTTTAAGCCAACACAAATAAATAGGCATTATAAGAATGCTTGTTCTAGAACACTACATTTTTTTTGTTGTGGTAATAAGAGAAGCAGCAGTCTAGCTAGACATAGAAGCAGAAAACAAGTGTGATGGTTCAAGACAAAATCTTCGTTCACAGTAATATAATTACAGTTTGAAGTTTTCCCACTTGCATATAAATAACTTCAGTATTTGCTATTAACAGCTTTCATTCCCAGATCTGAGATCAGAGCATTTACATTATGCAAAAGTGATACATAGTCAAAAGTCGTTAATTCGGACACCCATAATCCGGACCTCAAAGCTACTAACTTTCTGTGCATGCGTCATGCGCGTAAGACATTTACGGCTGCGAATATGCGTGTGCGTAATACGTTTACGCTTGTGTGTTAATGTATAATGGACGGTATAAGCTAAGCTAAAATTATCTAATTCAGTTAATGTTGCAGATTGCGTTGTTCCTGAATCTTCGAATTGGATCCGGCTTATTATTTTTTGAAGACTGTTAGAGCAATTTTATAAAAGTAAGCTTTCGATTATGTCAAATAAAATTTCCGATATGTATTTACTATTATGTAAAGGATCTACAAAGAGAAAGTATGTTTAGAAGTCCATTAAACAAAAAGTGGAATTGCTGTAAAAAATGGATAAAGGCATATCCTTCGTTTCTCAAACCATTCCGAAATCTGTTTATCAATTTCAAGCTGCTCTGCGGCCCGGGGGGGAGGGGGAATGCCGAAACACCGCGGCGCGCAATGAATTGGAAGTTAATCTGTCAGCACTATACTTATCTTCAGGGCAGATGTTTTTATTTTATTTCGCTTATAATTCCTTACTAAATGTAGTATTTCATCTCGATGTACTCCGTCTTTGATATGATTTAAATCAAATTCCTCGTCATTATAATTCGCTTCCGATAAAAAAAGAAAGTGATACAGAGGTTATTGAAAAGGAAAAAATTTCGATTGACAAATTAGTCGGTATTCTCGACACAGCAATTATAGGACTTTAACAGCGGAACTTTGTAACTGAAGAAGAAATTATGTCTGTTTATAGAATTAAAGAGAAAGTATTATCACATAAAATGAAGCAACTTAAACAACTTACATTGAAAGAAATGTTTAATACAGTAAACAAATAAATATTAAGCTTTTTTTTTTTTTTTGTAAATTTTGATACCCTTTAGATCATAATTGTTCTTTATTTCATAAATTACGGTTTCATATTTTTAATTTTATAATTTCTGCATGCCATCTTACCAGATTTAAACTGATGATCTATAATCTGGAAAAATCGATAATCCGGAATTGCAGAAGTCCCGACGAGTCCGGATTAACGATTTTTGACTGTAATATAGATTAATTTGGAAATGATGGAAGTTAGAGAGCTTTATTATAAGCAGTTACTATTTTTAGGACAGAAAAAGGAAATAGCCAAATATTAATGAAGAGTTAAGGGAAATTGAAATTAGAATTATATATAAATATATTTAATCTTGCATCTAATATGTAAGAAATGAATAAATTATATGAAATACTGTCAACTAATAGTGGCAAAGAATTGAACAGGAAGGCACAAATTAAAAACAAACAAAAACTTGGAAAGCAAAAATAAAAGCAAATTAACAGAGCAAAATGATAAAAGTAAACAAGGAATCAACCTAATTTACAAAGAAATAATTAAAGGAAACCAAAATTCAAATTAGACTATTAACAATCGTATGAAGATATAATAATAATAAAGGATTTAATAACGAATCTAATAAATGTGCTCTAAGCTGCAAATCTGAATGATAAAATATATAGATCAAAAACTCATATAAAGTTCACTTCATAAATACTACTAAGATCATGCAAAATTAAATAAGAAAGAGATCAATTATGCAGTATAATGTCAACAAATAGTGGCAAACTATAGAACAGGAAGGCACAAATATATATACACATATCGAAGAATTAAGAAAGTACTTGTATTAATTTTTAAATACATAAATAAATTATGTATGAAGAACATTTATATACATATGTTACATAAATTAATATTACTAGCTGTAATAGCATATTCAGTCAATTTTAAAGTCAGCTACTCAAAAGTTATTAAATACTAAAAGCTAAAACAAGTTAATATTTGAAAATTATTAAACGCTTTCCCAAATTTGTCCTAGAAAAGTCTTATGTTTGTAGTTATATGCTTTACGTTGTTTAGACTGCTATTTACATTTGATAATAGTAAGGCACTTAATGTAGCAAGGTTAAATATAACACTAATTAAATGGATAACTCTGTTGCACTTAATTATAAGGTACTGTATCATTTTTCAATAACTCTAAAAACTTCCTTTCATTTCATTTCTACACACATCTTATTTAGAGCAAGAGTACCTTCATAAATAGCTAAAATTAGCTATTTATGAAAGGCAGAACTAATACAGTATTTACATGTTGCTTTTTTTTTTCACAATATTTTACATTACTAATAATTTTTATAAATTATTATTAAAAAAGTTTTTCATTAAAAAAGTTGCTGTCTCACTTTCATTAAAAAGTCCTATTGTCCATATGTAATAAAAATATTGTTTTTTATTATAAAAAGTGACAGTACCAAATGTAACAGAACAAATATTTCCTATTGTGCAATACAATTTACTATTTTATAAAAAAGAGACAGATGAATAAATACAAGTATGTGTGTAAAACCTACACTGAAAGAACAAATTTCATTAAAAGAAATTGGTCATGAAGTAGTTTGCAATCTACCTCTTTTAGTTCATTATTGATTTCTCAGATAAGCAATCAAAATGCCATTTTAAATCATGAAAATAAATACAAATAATTAAGAATACATAAATGGTTCCATTAATTAATTTAATATCTTTAAGTTTATAATTTCAATAAATTTTAATTATTTCCAGTTTTACAAAATAAAAGTAGAATGACACTTAAAAGGGCCATTTTTATTAGTTGTTCATCCATATACATTACGAATGTCATATAGCATGGCCAAGAAAGAGTGATTATTTTAATTAATGAATCTTTGCCATGCTTTTGGGAGCTAACATGGAAGCATTTGTGACACAGTACTCTAAATTTCAGTAACTTCATAATTAACCCTTTGTGGCTCAGTGTTCCACTACATGGAACACCCAAATTGAATCGCTTCTGAAACCTTTAAATTCAACCGTATATAGATAACGATGCCTTTATAATATACGTTTAACTTTTCTTTTTAAACAGTAGATAGCAGCATATCACAAGGTGACACAGAATTTTCATTTATTATGTGTTATTAAAATCCACTTTTTTTCAAGTAATTTTCTCTATTTTTTTAATGATATAAAAAATTTTATTTGGAAAAAAAATTAGTCAAAATTTTGCTGGCTGTACTCCAAATTATTTGTTCTATATTTTTTTAAATCTTTCATACAAAAAACATATGCAGAATCATTGAGTAATAATCAATCAGAATCATTGAGAATTAGCGGGAACACTGCGCCTTTAGCGATCTCATGCTGTTACAAATCAGAACATCTGTGCTTAGAGACCATCCGTTGTTTACATTTTCTGTTTCCCTTGTTTTTGGGGGGAATGAATTCAAAACAAGGCAGTATTGAGGGGTGAGATGTGTTTTGTGTTATGAAAGCCCTAATATTGGCATCTCGAACTTTTTGGGAGTAGTTTTTTAGGCGGGAATTTTATTAGTAGCTTGACTCATCTTTACTGAAACCTGCGTGAATTTTTTGCTGTCGCATTTTAGTTTCATTCCCGTTTATTTTCAATAATTGTGTAGATATTTTTTGTGTATGTATATATTATAGGCTTATTTTTCTTCATTGTTAATATTAATCGTAGTTAATTTTTTTATTATTAATTTTCCATAAATGGCGCGGATAGGTCTAACTCTTTCAGAAGCGCTCTTTCCGAAAATTTGTAAATATTTTTTTTGTATATAGGACTTGTGTATAGATATTTATCTCATTTACCCGTATATATTCAAGAATATTGTGTATATCCAGGAAAACATGTATACAGCCATAATACAGAGTTTTTTCATTCTTATACAAACGCTTCTACTCATTTTCATGCTTCACTGCAATGCTCGCTTAGTCGCACTTTTAAAAGCTCTGGCAGCGCAATGTTCCACCTCATGGAACACCCACAGAATTAAAACGGTAAGTGCAATTTTTACAAAATTTTACCTATATACTGCTTTAGGACTAAATAGACTGCATACAACTTTTTTTGTTGAAATTCCGACGTTAACGTATAGTGCGCCGCAAAGGGTTAAAAAATAATACCTTCAAAATTTAAAAAAAAAAAAAAAATCAATAGCTTTCATATTTGAATGTGAGATAAAATGCCAGGAAAAAGAAATGATTAAAATATACAAATATTAGTCACTCTATCTAAGAAATAAATGATTAATTGAAAATGGATAATTGCATGCTATATTATTACCAAACAATTAAACAGAGTTTCCCCACCTAATGTAGTATTCTTTCTTTTATATCTTTATAATTTTCACCTTCTTTTACAAGTACAGTGCAGTTAACAGGAAAGAAAGAAAATACAGAAAATCAATTACTTAATACATTCTTTCATTTTTATTTATATAGTTCCCATCCTCTTTTACAAGTAACAATGCAAGCAGCACTAAAAAGGGGGAGGAAGAAAGCACAAAAAATGAAACAACAAGTAATAATCAAAACCCAGGAAATTCAATAGAAGCAGCAGTAATATGCAAAACACTAATAGCTATTTTAAAAGACAACAATGATAATCAGCAACAAAAATGAAAGATGAGAGAAAATCCTTTCCAAGCCATATTCTTTAAAAGACTTAAATGTATTAAAATGCTAAATTATATTAATAACTCAGGTGTTTCATCTAAAAATTGACAATAATTCCAGTGTTTCATCTAAAAAAATAAACTAATGATTTTAATTTTCAGATAAATCATACATAAATTTACATAAAATAATACAAATCAAATTTAATAAAATGCTCCTTAAATAAACATTTTAAAAGTTTTTTATTTCATCTCAATTATGCTATATTTTTGCTTTATTTAATATTACTTGTCTTGACACATTTTAAGATTTTGAAAAGTATTAACAAATATGCATCTGTAAGAGGTAACTAAAATTATCTTTTCAATAAATAAATATACTTCTAAATGTAGTAAATCTAATTGTAATAAAATACAATGAACAGTTACTCATCTTTCTAATTAGTTTTAATCCAGAGAGCAAAACTCTAAGGGAGTTTTAATTCAGAGAGCAAAACTTCAGAAAGAAATTCCTATAGCAAACTATTCCCCCAGTGGTGACTTTTGGAACTAATTTGTTTTTTCACGGAATCCTTCGTCCCCGTCTTGACAAACAAACTACAAAATGTGACATCATTCTTGCAAATAGATCGCGTGGTACTTACGTATTATCGCAACCAGGTTGGAGCAATTTGTAAGTTTGAGTAAAAAAGTATGAAATAGAAAGAAAATGTACATTTATTAATTACAGATAATTTTTAATACAGTTTTTTCATATTATTTTGTTTTAAAATATAAAATAGCAATTAAACCCTTCTGGTTTCGAATTTGAATAAGTTGCAGAATTATTTTTTCGGCGGAAATCTTTTGGCTATTGCTTTTAGCACTGATTGAAAACCGTCTTTGCCATTAACAGCTTGAGCTTGGCACCATATAAATTGGATAAGGTATGAGTCAAGATGATGACGGGCTGTTCCTCTCTGTTTTTTGTTGCGCCATTTGGCTGAGCCCCTCATGTGCTTTACATGTTGTGTGTGAACGCCCGTGTTGGAATCCACAAAGTTATATTTGTGGTTAACAGTTGCATGCAGATATGCAGCATTTTCGAATTCACTTGTATTGTATCCTTTCTAGCAATCCCAATAAATGATGCTTCCTTCCTTGATATTTTCACAAATTTTTTCCATGAGGGTAACGACGCTTCTGTTAGGTACAGTAACCAAAAAGGTCTCTTTCTTTTCTCGGCAAAAGTCTCTTTCTTTTCTCGGCAAATTCCGCCAAAAACCCATTGCTATGATAGTACACGCCCAGTGTAATTTTTTCTTTTTACAAATAAACTTTTGTCTATTTTCACACACGTAGGGTTGCCGTAAGTAGGGTCGCCAAATTTGCCGATTTATGCAAATTTTGGCCTGGTTGCGTTAATACGTAAGTACCAGATCGCGTTACAGAACACTGTGAGCACTGTCAGTTTAATTCTGGCCACCCTGTATGTAATAAAAAAAATACACAATTTTTGAACCTATTTTGATTAAAAAAAGTACGCAGTGAGAGGGTTAATAAATTATATTTATTACAATTAAATTTAAATATAATATTATTATTACTACTAGAAATTATATTTAGCTAGAATTCTACTTTAATAATGTATATTAAATGATTTAAAAAGAACAATAAAATATTTTAACTTTTTTAATCAAGCTAGTAAATTCAGCTGAGTTAATACACATTTTGAATCAGCTAAATGTTTACCTTTTGAGTTCTTAACAATAGCTCCTAGTAACTGTACAAAGGAAAACCTATAAAGGAAAAAGCATCTTTAAATATATATATATATATATATATAAAAAAATTTGAATTTTTTTGAAATTTCATAGTTTTAATATGCTCTCAGAACTGAATATAATATCAAATTTAAATGTAACAAAATTTCATAAAAAGGAGTCTATAGTTTATCACATAATAATAATTAATGTATGCAAGCAAGTTTTAAATAAATACTGAATAGTTCTAGATTTCCAAGTTTTTTTTTTTAAATTATATTACATTTATTTCTTAAAACTAAAATTTTATTTGATTCTTTCAAAATGCATATAACTCTCCCCCTTTAAAACATTTTTAAGTAAAAAAATATAACCTTGTTTCTCCAATTAAATAAACCCCTTTTTATATAAACTTTTACAAAAAGGTGCCTCTATAAAAATCTGGAAAATATCACGGCTTTAAGAGATATCCTCTTTACATAGATGTTAATGAAATGAAGGTGAAAATTTATCATATAATAGAAAAAATATGCAGTATGGGATACATATTTTATGTCTGTTTGCAGCCATATACCAGGTTGTTCAATAAGTTCGCGGAGCACCATCTATTCGTCAATATTAGACCTAAAACTTCAACGCCATTTTCATATTTGTTCTTTCTTAGGAACATGTCAAAAGTTTCATTTCGATCTGTTAATTTAGTCATTGTTTAACCTCCCTTTATATCTAACATGTTGTGCCTTTTTTCAGGTATGGATAAAATTGAACAATGTGCAGTTATCAAATTCTTTGTAAAGAAAGGATTAAAGGCAATGGGAATTCATACCGAAATGGTGAATGTGTTGGGAGAATCTGCTTCTTCAAAAACAATAGTTTGCAAGTGGGCTAGTTTATTCAAAAGTGGTCGTACCTGCCTTGAAGACTCAAAATCTGCATCAACACTGGAAATCATGGGGAAAATACAAGATATGGTATCGGAAGAATGTTGATTCACTGAAAGAGATTTAACAGAGGCTTTAGGCATTTCATTGGGCACAGTGAGCAATATTTTGAGTGTTAATTTGGGTTTCAAAAAACTCTGTGCAAAATGGGTGCCACATTCTCTAACAATGGAGCAAAAACACATTTGGATGCGACTTTGCCAGTGACATTTAGAGCGTTTTAAGAAGAAGCGACTTTATCCATCGATTTATTACAATGGATGAGACTTGGGTCTACCATCATGATCCTGAATCAAAACAGGAGGCTAAGAAGTGGTGTGAACCCGGCTCTTTGGCGTCGAAGTGACTTCGTGTGCAAAAATCAGCCAAGAAGGTGTTAGTATCAGTTTTTTTGGGATGTGAAAGGAATTTTGTTTATAGATTACCTTCAAACTGGCAAAACAATTAATTCAGATTATTACTATAACTTTTGAATCAATTAGACGAAAAAATTTGTGAAAGAAGACACGGATTACATAAGAAGAAAATCATTTTCCACCAAGATAACACGCCTGCACACACAGCTCAAAAAACCATTGCTAAAATAACTGAATTGAAGTACGAATTGTTGCAACATCCAGCCTATTCGCCAGATTTAGCTCCCTCCAACTTCTGGCTCTTCCCACACCTCAAAAAATATCACCGTAGAAAACGATTTTCTTAGAACAAAGAGGTAATAGCTGCCATGGAGGGATATTTTGCAGAGCTGCCAAAAAACCACTACAGTCAAGGGATCCATAAATTAGAAGACCGTTGGAATAAGTATATTGAAGATGATGGAAACTATGTTGAAAAATAAAGTCATTTTTACAGATAAAAATTGGTTTCTTCATTTCCAGTCCACGAACTTACTGAACAACCTTGTATATCTAAAATAATAAAAAATAAATAAATTGGATTTCTGATCTAAGGCCTATAACACTGCATTTTAATCATCCTTTTTGTTCTAAAAATAGAGCTTATAAATTTCTCTCAACTGGCTTATTTCAAAGTTAATTTTCCTCACAATATTCTGATCTAATGCTGTTTTTTTAACTGAATCATTTCAAAATTAATATTCCTCCATTACATGACCCTAATGGCTCAGTTTTGGGAGATTTATGACACACATTTACAATTTTTAGGGAAAATAACCAATTTATAATGGAGAGTTAAAGACTACTGCAAATAGGAATATGATGTACTTATTTTTTTATCACATATAAAATCATTATACACATTTATTTTTAAATTTATAATAGACTAAAATTAATCATATTATTCTACTTTGACAGATAATAATTTTATAAATTTTATACTTTCAAGATACAAATTTCATATTTTGCTATTTAGGAGGATATAATTAATTCTTCTAATGTAAATACTCTTTTTTTTTAACTTTTAATTTCAACAAAAACCATGTTGCCAATATAAAACTGATCCTTAATGATAAATAATTGCAGCATATATCAAATGACAAATCCAATAAAATATACAGTTTTTACTTTTATTAGGATTTCTAATCATAATAGTAGTTGCATATGTTTCACTTAGGCATGCTTCTCTTAAGTTTTGATAACAACAGTTTTTTAAAAACAAGAGACAGTTTCAACAGTCCAAGAAATAAAAAAAAAGGTAACAAAGGATGAAAAAATGCAGAAAAGAAAATAAACAAATGACTAAAAAATACATAAATAACAAGAAAATTATGCTTTTTACGAAAAGTAAAAATATGTTTTTATGTATATTTTTATGTACATGGAGTATTCAAATTATAGCATTCATACTCACTCCTTTATGTAAATAGATGTGCAAATAAAAAGTTTAATACATTCAGTCAGCATAACGACAGTAACTGTACTATAAGAATATTTTGAATTCTTCTCCTTTGTAGCTGTTACAAGAATACCTAGAAAAGAAATTTGAAGTTCATAACATGAATAAATTACAGATGATACTGTTCTTAGGCCTTAAAATTTAAAGGAACATAGGAGCTAAACTAGATAATCATTATAAAATAATAATACTATGATATTTGTAACTCAAGTTTAAAAAATTAATTTCTAATAAAAAACACTCTTAATTCATAATAGAATGTATAATTTATAAAAATATCAGTTAAATACCAAGCTATCTTCTGGTTATAATCACTGAGACTGGGTTAAGAACACAGAAAACACATACAATGGTTAAATGAAGAAAAAAGTATTTTAACAAAACTACTAATCTTTAAAAAATTAGGACTTTTCAATGATAATTTCTCTACTATGAAGCGGGTTCAGAAAGTAGTACCCATTTGGCAATAAAGAAAGAATGAAAGAGGATACACAAATACATCATTTTTTTTATTCTGAATGAACATACCATAGGTTAAATTGAAAACTGTGCCACACATATGCTTATGTGTCCAAAATTTGCACTTTTAAAATGAAAAGATTTTGTTCAACTAATTTATCTTTCCCTCCTTTTCTTAAAAATCACCTTAGTAGATATTATTATCTGAATATATTTATGTATAGCTTGTTATTTCATTTTTCATGTTTCTGCCAGCAATATTTTTAGAAAATTATTGCATATATCCAATGTCTGAATTGGATGGAATAAGCTCGTTTATAAATGCAGATGTACCAAAATAAAAATAATAATTTCCTACTCATTAAAATTTATAAGATTGCAAGAAGACACAGTTTAATTTAGTCATTAAGCATTAATAGAGCACTGATATTACAATCAGTTATTAACAACCACCTATATAAAAAATAAATATTTTAAAATTAAGATATTGTTTTAACAGAATAAATTTTTAATTTCTCTAATCAGTAAAACTATAATAGTTAAATCAGCATATACAAGTTTCAGAATTCATTCAGAGCTTCTCAGATAATATAATATTTTCAATATTCTTTCTTTCACTTATAAATTTCAGCAGAATGTTCTTAAAATTTTGCACTTTCTTTCCCCAAAATTTGCTTTAGTGTACATTTGATTTATAAATGTAAGTATTAGATTAACTCAATTAGAATTTAAACTTATTTAACAACTACAGAAGACAAACTTGATAGGGTTCTCAGAAGCGTAGCTAGGGTTTTCAGTGCCCGGGGGCAACTGAAGATTTTGCGCCCCTTACCTTGTGCCACGAATGAAAAACACTTTATTCTAAAATTTCGTACCATCATTTTGGTGCTCCATAGATGCTGCGCCCGGGGACAGATATCCCCCCTTGCCCCACCCTAGCTATGCCACTGAGGGTTCTTAACAATTTTTTTTTTTAATTTGCTATGAGCATAAGCTTGTTAAGAACAATTGCCAGGAAAAATTTTTTTTCACATCCTGTTAAAAGCACTATGCAATCAGACAGCTTATGCCTTCCCCAAAAATTATTAGTGCAGAAATGCATCTATATGAGGGAGAAATTTTTTCCCTGATTAAAGCATTTTCAGATATTTTTAAAAACTGTTGAGAACAATCATGAATGGAAAACTATAAGACAATCATTACTGTAACAATATCCTATTACTTACAACTAACAATTTATTGCATATTTTTATACTGATTAAAACTGTTATTATAGTGCTGCCTATTTAGTTTCTTAATATTCTTATCTAATTACTTAAAAAATAAGTACTGTTTATAACACAAAATGTCTCAGTCCAAAAAGATTTATTTAATAGATCTTTAAGCTTTCTTTAAGCTAGATCGATAACAATTTCCTACATAGATCACGTTTTAATCATGCACTATTTTACACAGATTTATTGATACTGCATTGCTCACAAAACATCTTTTAGAAGATCGCTAATTCTTTTCCATAATTTATAAATTTCCAGACAATAATCTCTTTTGAGATATTCAACATTAAAAAATAACACAAGTATACAATTTTAAATCAAATAATAAAAAATGAAACGGAAAAGAAGTTAAGGATAATCTTGAGAAACAAACCTTGATTAATAAATAATGCCATGTACGCTACAAATATAAAAGCACTTAATTTCGTGGGGAAAAGTTCCTGAACGTTTGATAATTTAGTCATTTTACAGTGAATTTCGAAAATTTTTGTAACACTAAATAGATTCTACTAATAGTGAACGCTTCGTTCTTTCTTGATAGGCGACTACATTCTAAGCAGAACACATCACTTAAAACAGAACTGTTTGACAGCTCGTATTAAATAAAGGAAGCTCCTTTTTTTATGGCAACTTTGGCGTGTGATATTTGGCGTTAGCTTGTTTCTTGGCTCCGACCAAGGAGGTTACGGCTGAATACGCAGTGATTCTCAACCGGGAGGAGGGCAAGGCCAACTAGATATGATGTTAGATTATGTAAGATATCTCGTTGGTCTTTGGGGGGGGAGGTGAATTCTTCTTGTGAGGCGAGAGATTTCTGTCAGCCTTTTGTTTAGCTATTAAGTATTATAAATATAAAATACTACTTTTATTGAAATTTTGCACTTTTTAAACATATCGTATATTTTCTGTTGTTTAACTTATTAAAAAATGTTAGGAAAATAATCTAAATCTAAATAAATGCATAGGTATTCTCGAGTTTTGGAAAGGAAGGGGGAATGAATGCTCTCCTAGTAATGGTGAAAAGAAAGTGTATGGGACAAAATGGGGTGAGAATCACTGGTATAGTTGGCTACAAACTATCTCTTTAATGTTCATAGTGGCAATGTAATCGCCAAATGTAGTTTCCGTACGAGCTTTATTTTTTTGTTTCACTAATGATAGCTCAGAGCTATCTTGGATCTTCCTACATCTAACAATGCTAACAATTTGACTGATTGTAAACTTTTAAGCACTAGCTCCCGCCAAGGCGAATTAATTATCATAAATATAATAGGCTCATGGAAACGTTTCAAAACTTTTCTTATGCATTATTATTAAGATAAGAATTTCTCAATTAATATCCCTAATTTTAAAAAGACGTATACGAGGTAGTGACAAGGGAAAAAAAATTCTGAACTATATCATGACTTGTTTCTTCTTCCTGATGTCCTTTAGTTCACGAGATTGATTTCACTTAAGTAAGCATTATTTTTTCTTCAGATAAATATGAATTACTTTTAGAAGAGTAAGATAGAAGGAATATGTTCCTTATTATATCAATGATGTCATGAAACGACCGTCTGCTGATACATAGTAGTTCCTCCAAGATTGAATCGCTAATCAACCGAGGTATTTCTCCGAAATTTCGCCACATGTTCTTTTACCTCGCTACATAAAACATCTCGGTTGTTTTAGCGATTAAATTTTGGGGCCGCTATGATAAGGAAATACCGATTTTTCTTTAATGGCAATCTGAGTGTCTGACGGGCGGCTAAAACCCGCCGGGAACTGGAGAAATTCAACCAATCAGAGACAACCGTTGCGCCATGAATTTTTGGCGTCATTTTCCGATCGCCAAACGCAATTTTTGTGCAAAACTGGTATACAAGAAAGCAGTTGTTAATGTTATGGTAACTTGTTCGTATTTCTTGGGTAGAAGTAGTTCATTTGTTTTGGTTATTTTGTGTTGCCCTGATATGATTTAATATTTAATTTACTGTAGAAGCGATAAGTGAAGTATGTAAATCTCAATTTCGAAAACAAATACAACTTTATATTCCACTCAATTGGCTAACTGGATACCCAATAACTTTTCTTTACTTTTAAATAAAGGGTGAAAATAATAATTGATAAAAATTACTTACTGTGAAATTTCTGGGCTCTTTGTGTATTTGAAAATGCTTGTTGATATCTAGGTTCATATTATTTCACGTACTCTAAACATCGTGAAATTCAATAAAGAAAAATATTTTAAGAATGTGTCTTTTTTTTTTTTTTTTAACTACTTTTAAAACTTTTAGAAATTTCTCTTTTGTATATTTTTTCGTAGGCAAAAATCACATTAACAAAAGCTCCTACTGAAATATAGAAAATACAATGATTATTCAGAGAATCTGTATATTAAAATGCTGATGTGGGATAACTCATAAAATAACCCAGGTAACCCAGTAACTCCCAAAAGAAAAAAAAATAATTGAAAAAAATTAACATGAAACTTGTTTCTGCATTATTCTCCATCGAAATAATTCTGTTTCATTTCATTGTGTTATGTAAAAATAAAGATGTAATTTTTAAAGTCTTGGAACATTAGCACAATCAAGTAATTTTTATTCATGATGAATCTGTGGGGTATTTTACACTTTATATTACACACCGTATGTGTTACTATGTACATTATTTTCTTTTCATTGCCAAGACTTTTCTGAATAATATGCAGTAATTTATCACCTTCATTAGTCTCCAGGTTTGTAATTATATTTTAGGAAATCACACAGTCTTTAAGCTGCAATTTTAATTCCACTTGCTTATGATTTCAGATGTCATGTATTAATCCCTAGCAGAAATTCTGTATAAGTTTTCTTGAAATCCAAAGCATTTTCTTTTTCTGTACAAATAAAATATTCCAACAACAGCTATCACCATTGGATGCCTCTAATTTTTATTTTGTAAAGAGCAAACAAATTGTATATTGTAGTCTACACATCTGCTGCCTATGTTCCTATAATTTGCTATCATTTCTGATTGTGGAATTGTGGTGAATTTTCACAATTCTGTATTATGCATATTAGAGCACGCATAAAAATATTTCAATTGGTAAGAGATTCTATAAGTGTTTTCTTTCTTTTTTTAAAAAAGTTCTGTATCAATGGTAGTAATTTATTTAATTCATTATTGCAAAGCAGGAAAACAGTATCTTCTTAAGGGTAGAAGACTTTCATGAAGTATATGTTTAAAAGATGAATATGACTTCTGTTCATGTGGCACAAGAGAAATATCCCATACAGCTAGCCTGTCCACCAGTGTTCAAACTATTAGTGCTTCTTAGTCTTATCCACTCGACTGCTGATGAATACTAATTATGGAAGATAGTAATAATTTTTCTCAGTGTGAAAATTTTGTGACCATTTTATAGAAAGTTTCTCACTGTAGTCGGCTCCAGAATCTTCGGATGAAGTTATCATTACATGATATATCATAATTTATTCTTTATATTGAAACTGATTGGGAAACTTTTTTTTTTTTTTTTTCATCTGGAATAATTGTTCTTAGTAGCAGAATAACTGCACACAAAGGACTCTGTTTATAATTGTTATTCTCCAAGCAGATTTAATAAATTAACATCATTCAGTTTATTATACCATTGTTGTATAAGAGTCAAAAATGGACTTTAAGACAAATGGGTGGTATCTGAGTATAAGTGTGCATTTAGTTACAATAATTAGTAATAATCATTTATTGTTTTACAATGGTTACATTAATGTTATGTTTTCCTAATATCTAACATGTTAAATAACAATTCTATTTTGCTTGGTTTAAGGTTGGTTCCTAGGGGCCAATGCTATATTTAATGTGTTAAGAAATGACTGATGAAAGTGTTAAATTGATAAAAACAACTTACTTATACATATAGAAAACAAACACTTGAAATTTTCAACTTTAAGTTATATTTTGTGATTATCCATATGATCCATGTGCAAAAATATTTTAAAATATAGTATTAAAAAAGGAAATTTACAGAGTTTAAAAATTTATTAAAAATATTCATTCATATTGCTACAAATAATCTGATATTTTGAGCAATATATATTAAAGTTGTGAATTATCAACCTAGATAAAATTTTGATTAAAATATCTAGTGGTGAGCTATTAAAATATTAACAAAGAGCACACACTTTATTTTATAAAATTCAAAATACCAAATTATGTTTTTTTTTTTTAAATGTTTTAAAATTTTACAAAAACGGAAAACAAATAGTAACTGTGCATGAAAAAAAATTAAATAAGAAATATCATGGAAATTACATAAAATAGCAAATAAATTTCATGATGTGCACAATTTGTGCCAGAAGTTGCCCCTCACTGTTTTCTTCTCACCACAGTTGATCATTTGTAAGGTTTTAAGAACCAGCAGAGATTTTTCAAAAACGTTTTCTACATTCTGCTAAAGGTTTCCCCATTTAGCATTGTCTTTAAATCTAAGAACTTCATGTGAGTCAAAGAAGGTCTTTATTGTGGAAACACTTTTCGTTAAGCTTAAAGCCTGCTTAGCTTCACCTCTATTAATACTAATAGTCTTTATAATAACTATACCTTCCTTTACACTATTAGGAATTCCATTATGCAGTTTTCATATTAAAACCATCTCAATGGAAATCCTAAAATAATTTATTTATATTTCATGTTTTAATGTAAAATTTAATCTTTGTTAAAGTACGGTTACAACAGCAGGCAAGACGTTTTTCCCTGGAATAAGTAATAAGCAAACAAAAAGAACAAAGGACAAATTGAGCAAAGGATGCGTGCAAACTCCATACATCTCATCACTGAAGATATCATAATGGACTTTTTGTACCCCATTTAATGTTGAAAACACCTAATATTACTGATACTAAGAATAGGCTAAATAGATTTCACTTGTATATATATCAAAGCTATAATTGCAGACATCTTTAGAAATTTCAAGACACTTTTAACTCAGACTAATTGCCAAGCAGGCTCATTTCCATTGTAGAACTGATGGTAATGAAAAAGCTGATTTCCTCACACAGAAAAAAAAAAATTTACTGAGTGCATTAGATTTCACTTTCTAAAGCTTTTGACGAATTTAATTTGTAAATTTTTCATGCAGAGTCATTTCGAGCATGTAATCGAAGAACTTGGAATGCTGTTCGAACAAATCCACCTGTGGTCCCAGGTTCTCAAAAATATATAGTTGTCACAAAATTTGTCAGGTCATGAATTTCAAGATTAAAATAAATCAAGAAGGCTTAGAATGATGCAGAATTTGTATAATTCTTATTAATTTTGAGTGTTATCTGATATCTGTTCTTCAAAAGGCCAGGAATAAAAAGCTTTTTTCATTTTATTGAAGAAGAGGGACCTACGTCAGTTATTTCTTAAAACTGACACAAGATTTTATGTTAAGCTGCTATTTTTGCCTTACTTTAATTTTATATGTTTTTGTCAGTTAAGTATGACTTTTATCTGCTCTTGAATGTCAGAAACATTAATTTTTCTAAACCATGGGTTGTATCAAAATAAAGTACTTTGGAAGTAGATTTAAGCAAAATAAGTATGTTTCAGAGAAGACTCATAAGTATTACAGAAATATAAATTCTAATTGTATTGGAAGCCTATAACTTTAAAATACATAATTACAAATGTTTGATATGTACATATTTGGTTATATGGTACCTGTCCGCATACTGCTTGATAAGAGTACTCTAGCTGATGTATTTTGTGTAATATCTACATGACACATATAGTTCACTGGCATGTCGGTTTCTGCAGCCACAGTAATCTTGTTTGCAGATCAGACTTAATATTGGGTACAAATACTTTGTTTTTCATTTACCATTTTATACAGATCATCAGACCAGATAAGCTAAGCAAAAGGTGTCCAAATATATAGTTAGGATATAAACCTAACCATCAGTGTTCAGCAATA